ACTTTCATCAGCAACTGATGTGCTTCCATGCACTGGAAATAATACATACTACGTATTAGTTACTTATTTACTACTATTGGTATTAATAGTAGTACATTTGTGTTATTTCTTCTAGTTTTTCTTTTTGCATTGTACAGTTATAATAAATGCTATGTATTTCTAGTTAGCAACACATTTTTGAATTAATTATTTCTCACATTGTTCTTACATTTTGTCTTTTCATACTTGGTGTTTTGGACATTCTTTCCAACTTTTCAGTTACTGCGATCGTTATTGAACTAGACTTTGTAACCTTTTCTTTCGTAATGCAGTATAACTAGATGATGATGATGACTATTGATGTCACTGTATTTTTCTAAAATCTTGGTACACTATGGACCTGACCCATGATACATTTTCTCTCAAGCTTCACTATTACCATATGTGCACAGGGAGCACATCATCCTGTGAAAAACATATGTTGTTCCTTAAAGATGGATCGACTTGGATGGTAGAGTCCCTCATGTTTCCATTGCATGGGTTAAGAGCCATAATTGAACCCTTCGTTTGTTAGAAGTGCAGATTTCTCGAAGTCTTTTTTTGGACCTTGATCTGTCAATCTTTGAAACCACATAAAAAGCCTTTTGATAGAAAAAGAAGCTTTTCACAAGTTCAAATGTGACAGCTGCTTCTAAGTGTATGTCCACAAAAATAAGTGAAGCTTTTATGACTTAGATCTGGTTAAAATTCTGGGTTTGTACTCTGAATATATATACATTGAGTCATAAATTTATAGGTCATAGTCTGAGTACACATGCAGTCAAAGGGAGGGGACAGTAGCACATGTGCTGAACATCTTTGAGAGGAATTTTTAGCGACCTTGAATAAAGCAAGGCTGCAGTTATCTGTTTGCTGTGGGTTTTAACATATCTAGGCTATGGTTTGCAAAAAATTGCCAAGTAATCGTGGATGTGACTGATATATCTTCAGTAAATCACTGGAACTGTAAACATGTGACCTGCTGAATGAGACTGAGTTTCATTTCTTTCTTCTATATGTTCTTAGAGGATCACAGTGGGCCATCGCACTGAGGAATTTAGGACCCCAAGTAGGGAAAGTCCTTAAGCAATGAACTTCTGCAAAGCCAGGTGTTACCACTGATATTACAAAGCTAACATTATGTTTAAAATCTGATTCACACAGGAAGAATTTACTCCGTGTCTAACTGCGTGCTAATATTTAGTCAACACAAGCTGCACAATGCAAGTTTTGTGATGATTTATGTCACCTGCTTTGTTTCATAAAAACAGGCTTGCATCTGATTTATGCTCTGTGGCAAGAATGCACTGCATATAATAACACTATTAGACCACTGTAATTTTGTTATGCGTATATGATGGTTTAAAGAAATAAATCTGGGCTTTCTGCCACGAGACTCCTCAATCAACAGTTTTTCCTCTGATCTTATTTTTGGTTTAATCTCTTATGTCTCCCTCTTGTTCTCCCTCTGTCTCTCTCTTGCAATGACTCAGCAAGATACAGTTTTCTTGGACACTTAAAATGAAGTCATTTTTTATCATTTTTTGAACACATTGAGATTGAAAAGGGGGCTTTAATATAACACATACTTGTGTTTACATGATTTGTCACAAGTGTAAATGGGCTTAGAACTGGGTGCTTTGTAGAGTATATCTGAATCTCTGATTACTTCTACCACACTTTGAGTTTTGTTGTTTTTAGCTTATTTTTTCTCAGCATTAAGGTAAAGGAAATCAGTATGAGCAGGTAGCATTGTTCCTGCCATTTTGCTTAATTTCAGAACTTTTAATCAGCGTTTCTGTCATGACCAATGCAAAAAAAGTGGTTATGTTTTTCTCATGCTAAATACTTTTTGAGAGACATTGCTGTGTAGTCTCTAAAGACACACAGTGCATGTATAACATGTAGTATAGTCTGTTTCTTCCATATGGGTTAAAAAATACCATTTTGATGACAAATGTGTCCTCTGGTGCCAGTGAATACTTCTGTTCGTCTCTGTTCGTCTCATTAGGCCGTGGCAGCGACTCGGAGTCTGACGGCGCTCCTCACCGGAAGATGCCAGACGTTCGTAAGGATGACATGCTGGCACGACGGACGTCTGTCAGCGAGCTACGAACCGCCGTACCCTTTAACCAGTACCTGCCCAACAAGAGCAACCAGAGTGGATATCTGCCAACGCCACTACGCAAAAAGAGCAACGACAAAGAGGAGGGAGGACACAAGAGCTGGAGTACCGCCACTTCACCTGTAGGGGGTGACAGACCTCTTAGGTAGGTGTAACACTAGAGAGTGCTTTTGTGACTTGGCTATCAAAAAGGCATTTAGTTTAGCCTAACTGAAAATATCATATAATATTATATGTATGGAATACTAAAAGGTTTCTGTTGTTTGTGTGTAGAACTTCTAACAGCATATGTGTCGATATATACAATTGTTGTTAAGTTGGGCACAATCCAAAATAAGAAACAAAGAAGTCTAATAGCTTAATGAACAGATTATCAGAGGGACATGTTACACCACTGTGGCTTGACACTGATTGGTGCAGATAAACCCTTAAAGCTTGTTTAAAAAGTTCTGGCTGAAAGCGCACAGTTCTGGGTGCGGATGGAAGAAGTTTGACTGCCCAGAAATCCTGTTAAAACAGTTTTTTTTGTTTTTTTTGTTTTTTTTTAAATAAGCCTGAAGATGATGGCTGAGATTAGTAGATGTGGATGTAGACCATGAAATAATTGAAAGTAATTACTTTAGTACAGAACTGATAAAACTGACCAGTGTGAAAGACAGATATTAAAACAAATCAGCTGTTGGAGATTTTTCAATGTTGTAAAATGTTTTGTGTGTGTGTGTGTGCGTGTGAGTGATGTTTAGGGGGGGTGTTTGTTTGTTTGGTTTTTTTTTTACAGTAACTGGCAAGATTAGGTGTTATGTCAAATTGCATATGCCTGTAATAAAACCTCTCAGCTTTTGATTATTTTTCTAGTATTGTACAGATGTGAGTGGCTAATAGAGGCCAGATGTGGGTTTTCATTGGCTCTAATTCTGACTGAAACAAATGTCTGAAGCAGATTTAAAACAAAAGGTCTTTTTGAAATAGTCTGGCATGACACCATGCAAATTTCATCACAAGTTTCAGATTTCC